GGGACGACCCCAACCCTTTGGGATGATTGGTTAGGCATGGCTACGAAGAGGGGTTCACTGCGGGGTTGATCTCATCTTCGGGACTTGTCTCATCCTCAGAGAAATCACCTCCTCAAACACAAAGTTGTTAGGGAGAATATTCCTCCCATATGCCTTGCACATGGGACTCCATCACTTGAGTTGGCTATATATAGAGCACTTCTCATAACTTTAAGGAAGAGAAATTTTAGAGAGGAAGAGCCTTTGGGAGTTCTCATCCTTCTTAGGATCTATGGAAGGTTGCCATGATTATTTCTCTCTAACTTTTTTGCCTTCTACTTCACCTAACCTCGTCTTTCCATCATCTCTTCTCTATGTGAGATTCTATTAGTTGTGACCATTGAATAATCTTAATCTTGCCACTTATTTCTAGGAGATTCGAAATTTTCGGCGATATTCGAATTTTCCGTTCAAAATTTCCGGTGACATTCGAATTTTTCAACAAACCTTCAAAGATTCTGGCTATTTTTCTGGCGATCTTCAACTTTTCTGGCAACATTCTCGAACCCTTACATACAATGTTTGAGAAAATTAAATAAATGGTTTGAATAATTTTAATAATTTTTTTAAAAACAATTAGAGCTAGATCAAAGGGCTATACACGTCCGATTAATCTCATTTCTTATATGAATAATATACTCAACAAATCTTATAATATGAATTTTTCAAATTATCAAAAGATGATTGGAATTAATTTCCTGAGTATGACAGCACAATTGCTGTCACAAAACCCACCCCATATCCTATTAAAAAAGAACTATTTTCGATTTTGATAGTATTTTGGTGGACAACTACACCACTTTATTAATGCGATAGGTATGATATGACATTCCAATGTGACAAGTATTAATGTGACACTTCAACGTGGCCGGTGTAATGTGACACTCAAAAAAAAATTAAAACTCCTTAGTGTATTTTTTTTTTTCTAAATATGACAATGTGACAGATATGATGTGACACTCTAAAAAAACTAAAAACTTTCTAGTATACTTTTTTCAAATGTAACATGTGACACTCCAACATAGAGGGTATGATGTGACATTCCAAAAAAACTAAAATCTCCTTGTATACTTTTCCTAAATGTGAAGGCATGATGTGTATGATGTGGTAACTAAAAACTCCTTAGTACAATTTTTTCAAATGTGATGACGTGATGAGTATGATGTAGTACTCTAAAAAGATTAAAAATTATTTAGTGTATTTTTTTCTAAATGTAACATGTGACACTCTAATGTAGCAAGTATGATATAACACTTAAAAAAAAAAAAAACTACATGTGATACTCCAAAAAAAACTAAAAATTCCTTACTATATTTTTCTCAAATGCGACAACGTGACGGGTATGATGTGACACTCCAAAAAAAGTTAAAAATTCCTTAGTGTACTTTTCTTAAATGTAACATGTAACATTCCAACGTGGCAATATGATGTGACACTCTAAAAAAATTAAAAACTTATTAATATACTTTTTCCAAATATGACACTCCAACATAACGGGTATGATATGACAATAAAAAAAATTTTAGTAGAGTTTTTTCAAATGTGACGCTCCATTCTGACATGCAAATGAATCATTATTACATATCTAAAAAGACTAAATGAATTACAAAAAAAAAAAAAAAGAACTATATAGATCACAAATTCAAAATATGAAACTTATTAGTCAATTTCTAAAAAATATCTCAACTTAATATTGATTAATTATAATTATAAAATCAAATCACATCAAAGGAAATTATGGTTACTTAAAATCTAATCCCACTCCATTCTTGAAAAAAAAATAAAAAAATAAAAAAAAATCTAATCCCACTTTTTATGTTTGTTTAGAAGTTGATGGATTGAGATGACTGAATCAGGGCCCGTGACAGGGCCTATGAAGACCAACACCGACTTCCAGTGTAAGAAATTTTCTTAATTAGATTATTATTAATTATATTTTGTTTAATTTGTGAAAAATGAGTTAAAAGTAATTTAGATAAATTGATTAGTATGATCTCAAAATTATTATGGTGATTTATAAAATTTTGAGTCATGATCCATTTTAATGTATTTATTATTTTATATGTAGATATCTAAGTATAAGACATGTTTTAAATTATTTAAGTATCTTAATGAAAGGGTCTAATAAATGTTTATTTTATTTAGGTCCGATTACATCCCTTATTCTATTGGGACTTGCATATTTATTTATATATGTGCAAATCAAAAGGCTGTAAAATCTTACATCCAATGGAGAGGCTCTTGACCCAATGGAGAGGCAGTGACTTTGTGAATTTTATTAGCAAAAATGAGTGAGATCACTAAAAATGTTTGGTTATCATTTTTTAAAATTACTTTTCAAAAAATTCTATTTCCTTATTTTTCGTATTTTTTTGTTTTTACTGATTTTTTTTAATATTTTAAGCAATTTTTTTAATTTTTTAAACATACCTAACATAAATATACCTAAAACGTAAAAAAAAAAATTGAAAAAAACCTTTTAAAAATTCACTAAATACCAAAAATACAAAAAAAAAAAACGAGAATTCAGTACATTTTTTTATATTTTTATGTATTTATTAATTTTTTAAAATATCTTTTCAAAAATTTTTTACTTTTTGGATACATCTAAGTAAAGTGCATCTAAAAAAGTAAAAAAAAAAATATTTAAAAATTTAAAAATATTCACTAAAAACAAAAAAATACAAAAATCAAAAAACTTAATTTTCAAAAAACTTAATCTAAAAAACTCAAACTAAACACACTGAATAATTCTAAAGTGATGTGAGTCTCACATGATAAGATATTTTGCTCTTCCATTTTTTTTTTTTTTAAATTTCTACCTTATTAATGGTCAACTAATACTACCAAATTAATAAATAAGATGAATCATTGTTGTTTTATTAGATCGAACATCCTCTCCAATCCAGCATCCCAATTATAAAGTACGGTTGGCTTTTTGTGGGTCCAGTAGTATTATGAATCGTTTAATTTTAAGAGCCCCTCGAATAGAATTATTCTTATAAAAAATTTAGACAACTTTAACTACATGATTATATTATATTTATCTTTAAAAAAATTAAATGATTGATTTTTAAATTCATATTTATCATTTATTTTTTGGAAGACAAATTTAATTGGATCACATAGCTACAATAGTCCGATGAGCTTGATTTTTTAAAGCATAATTTACACGAAAATCTTTACAAGTAAAATAATTCAGATTATCAAAATGTGAGTTTGTGATAAAACTTACTCAGACCAACACCACCCTCCAATTTAAAATCGTACAAGAGCACGCAATTAGGCTCGTGGAGCTTATTATAGGTCTAATTTTGATAATTCAAACCGTTCAATATATAGAATTTATCGAGTACTTCATCATTGTAAAAAATTACGTTGATCGAATATCGATGGTCATTTAATCAGATCACATTTTTATTAATGATAAATATGATTTTAAAAATAAATTATTAAAAAAAATGTGTTCTGATCAAGTGACTATTGATATCCGAATAACGTGATTTTCTGCAAGAATGAAATACTCTAGAAGCCTTACATATTAAATGGTTCAAAATACCAAAATTAGACCCGTAATAGACCCATATGCCTAAACAATACCATCAAATCCACAAATGGCATGCTTATTGTAAAAATATTATATATGTATTAAAAATATTATTACGTAAAATAAATAATTTAAGAATACATATTATGAATCATAAATTTATATGTAAAAGAGGCTTAAAAGCGTATTATGTCTATTAAAGAATATAAATTAAGATATTTCAAAGAGATTTTTGGAATACAAGTTTCTACCATTTTCATATTACAAACCACTACATTGGGGGGGGGGAAGGCTGATATTTACTCGGTATTATATTTTTCATCTGGTATCGATGGGTATTGGCCAGTACTATTCGGTATTCGCTGGTATTTTAGGTGGAATGGAATTGGACTATGTAGGTACCATTTTTCGTTTGAAATGGTACGTACTGGCCGGTACCAGCCAATATGGTACGATATTGATAACATTGATACAAACATCATTATATGGGTTTTAAGCCATGTTTGTTTGACAGATTAAGTTGGATGAGATTATTAGTACAGTAGGATTGAGTGAATAGATTAATTGTGTGGTGATATTAAATTAGAGATGTAAGATAAAAAAAAATGTTTATTTGTGTACTAGTGTAGTAATATTAGTTGTTTGGGATTAAATCTATGAAATCACGTAACAGTCCTCATTGTATAAAAAATATTTTTGTTATTTTTTATAAAAAGATGGCAAAATGGTTTTTCACCTTCAATCCAATGGGATTAGATTAACAATCCCAACTCCCCAATAGGTATGCTAATCCCACTCTTGGGGAATTGATAGTCCAATTGGACTAATAGTCCTATAGCATTTTAGCATAATCAAACTTGATTTTTATAGGTATCACAGATTGTTAATCTAATCCCCTCTTCTAAATAGCCAAACAAATTACTTTGGTTTACTTCTACGACTTTGTTTGGTTTAAATTCTCATAAATTATTTTTAAATAGATTTTTTATTGTCTTTATTAAACTTTTTTCATATTTTAATCATTTTTTTAAAAAAAAAACTTTGCAGATACATCAAACTTAGATGCATCTAAATTTTTTTTTAACTAAATATGAAGAAGAAAAAAAAAATTAACTATACAAACGAAAATCCGAACAAAAATGCACATTTAAAAAAAAAATTTATTTATTTTTAGTGAATTTTTTTAAATTTTAAAAAATTTGGCCATAAACCCCTCCTAACTTCCTTTTCTTGTTAAAAGGACAAAATAAATTTAGTACTTTCAAAACCCCTTCATAATTATAAAGTCTTATATAAAGGACAAAATTTGAAAAATTCTATTTCCACACACCAAGTTTACTTACTCCACACACTTAATGAATTTTTTCAGAATTACAATTTTATCATTTAACAAAATTACCATCTCACCCACACATCTCACCCACCACCATCTCACCAGCCACTTCACTGCCGACCATCGCCTCTCATGCTTCACCCCGATAAAAACAAGTCTATAGGGGATGATGGGGCATTTAAGCTTATTTCAAAGGCTTGGCGTTTGTTGTCTGATAAAGCGAAGAGATTAGCATATGATCAGAAGAGGAATGTTAAAGGTTTTCAGCAAAAAGTTCCACCTACAAGTGTGGGTCCATCAGCACCACTCAGGTCAAATGGGTTCGACAATTTCACCAAAAGTATAACTCCGTATATGAGGTTTCCGAAGGGTAATACAACAAAGGCCACAGGCGAGTCTCATGGTCCTCCTCCATCTCATAAGCAGAAACCCCGAACCTTCTGGACCGTGTGCCATAGATGTAAAATGCAGTATGAGTACCTCAGAATGTATCTTAATCATAATCTTCTCTGTCCCAATTGTCACGAACCATTTTTCACAATAGAAACTGCTCCACCGTCCTCAATAGGTTATAAAGCATCCACCCAATCAAACCATTCCCAGCAGCAATAGAACACAAATCATCCGGGAGCAAGCAAAAATGTACATATTGCAGGAAGAAAATGAAGGAGAGGATGTGCACAGAATGTGAGGGTATATTTAGAATGTGAAATGTGTGGACTAAGATAAACAAGTAAAAATCAAATTACTAAATGTGTGGATTGAGAAAAGATGTTGTTGGCTAAAATGTTGGCTTATTTTTCCTACGAAGGAAAATATCATAAATGCGAGCGTGCCAGCAAGGATTGAAAAATCCTTACAGATTAAATTCAAGCCAATTATCAAGCGATTGTGTTGACGGTTCTTTTGCCTCAACGAAGAGGACTTCAAGATTGCCAAGTGTAAAGAAAAGAAAAATTAAAAGAAGAATGGGGAACAGAGAAAGATGATTGAGTGAACAATCAAAGTAATAATTACTTACCTCTACTCCTATGCTTCGAAAAGAAAGTGCATAAAATGCTAAGAAATGGAAATGCTGAAAATAAATGCTTCGAAATATAAATCTATGTTAAACTACTCCTAAGATAAGGAAAATAACAAGAAATATTGAAATCAAGTGTCTTTGATTATGAATTCTGGCTCCTTTACAATGTAGCCATTAATGGCTATTTATAGAGGAAAAAATACAGCAATAACTACTTAGTAACTACCCATTTCTCCCATCTTCATTCTTGTCTTGCCACGTGTCCTTCCACTCATCCACTTTGTCCTCCCACTCATCCACTTTGTCCTTCATATTCTCCATTATCTCTATAACTTCTTTTAACTTCCAAATGAATAAGAGGATGCCACGTGTCCTGCAATTATATAAATAATAAATAATAATAAAAATTGCAGATTTATGGTGTTAACAGATGTACACAAAGATAATTTGACGTGTGGAAATAGAATTTTCCACAAATTTTATTATTTAAATATTTTATTTGACCATTATACCCTCTCTTTCTTCTCTTTCTTTTACAACACACACTCTCTCTTTTCACCAACTCCATGGTTGTTCATCATCTCTACCATCTTCATCATTTATCGATGTTGCTTATCCTCATAATCGGCCAGCAACCACCATTTTTATCGTCAAACCACCACCATCTCAGATTTGATACCTACAAACTCATATTTGAGATCAATAACTTTAGTTCTGAGATAATAAAAAAAAAACTTAGATTTGATATTTAAAAAAAATGAGAAATTGAAATATTGCAATGAAAAATTAAGAGTTTTTTGTTTGTTTATTCATAGATCTAAAAGTAAAAATTTAACTCTGGTTCATTCATTTAGTATGTACTCTATTTTTTGTAATAGTAAAATTTTATTTTAGTTAACAGCATGTTGAGCTGCTTAACAATAGTAAAATTTTACTTTGAATCAGAGTAAATAGTAAATTTTACTCTAAATCTGAGTAATTTTTTTTTTTTATATTTATTGCAGAGTAAAATTTTACTCTGAAACAAGTTGCGAGGATGGCTTTACAGGAGAGTGTTGTATCATGAACCAGAGTAAAATTTTACTGTTCAAAGAACAGAGCATCATGAGAAGAAAAGAGAGAAATATGGAAATAGAGATCGAAAATATAGGATCATGAGAAGAAGAAGAAGAAGAAGAAGAAGAAGAAGGAGGAGAGAGAGAGAGAGAAAGAGAGAGAAAGAGATAAATGGTGAATGACACACACGCACACACAGAGTGTGAAGGATCTTAGATCTCAAGTTTGTGAACCGTCAGGAACAGACATTTTTTAGCGATGACGACTGTAAATGATCTTAGATCTAAGGTTATGGAAGTGACGGTGGCGATGAAGACGGTAGAGAAAGAGTTCCATGGTAAGTGGCGATGGCGTCGATGGAGAGTAACAGTGACAAGAACGAGACAGAGAGAACAGAGATTGAGATGAGAGAGAGTGATTGCAATCTAATACAAACACACACACATACACACACACACATATATATATATATGAAGGTATTATAATAAAAGAAATAAGTTTTAAAATATTAAGGGATTTTGAAAGGATTCATATAATTTTTATCCTTTTGAAAGACAAATTAGACACTGAGGGGTCTATTACCAAATCATCATAATATTTTAGTTAATTTATTTTAGTTTTTACATAATTCTAGATTAGTTGCAACTAAAAATTAGAAAATTTGGCTAAAATATAAAAAAAACAAATTCACTAAATATAAACGATAATTCATTTAAAAATAATTTTTAAAAAATCTAACCAAAAATAGTTTTGATTTTCAATTGACTTCCTATTGGTCAGTGAAAAATGATGCTAAGAGTTAGGGGCTGATTTTATAGTTATAGTGTTCGATCTCGAATTTTCATCTTTTTATTTATTTTTTATTTTTTTGAATTTTCAATACTTGCGTTCAGTTTTGTTTCTAAAATTTATTTTTAAATATTTTCAAAAAAAAAAAACTAAAAAAACTAAAAACTAAAAGCAAACATATTATCTCTAACTGAATATATATATCTAAGGAGATCATAATTAAAAATTTTACAATTACTTTTCATCTCAACTCAAAAAATTAAACTAGTATAATAATACCATAACTTATATATACTAACAAACCTTCCTTCAATCGTTGCCTCCCCTTCTCATCTTTATTCGAATGCTTAGCGATGAGATCTTATAGTTATGTTTAAATTTTGAGACATAAAGATCAACACTTTGGTTTAAGAGAAAATTTCATTTTTACCCCTATACTTCATCACGATTTTCAATTACACCCCCAGACTTTTATTATTTTCAATTTTACCCCCATATTATGTAAATCTATCAATTTTACCCTTGTCGTTTATTTTGTCAAGGAAGTGGATAGAATGGGTGATGTGACCCCCTATACTTTTGGATGGAAGGAAAATTAAGCCTTTCCCACCAAAACCTAACCTCCCATTCTTTTCCCTTCAACCTACAAAAACAAGGACAAAGAAGAAAAAAAACAGAGCATAAATGAAAGCAGTGGGAAAGAAGAAATGAGGAAAAATCAAAGCTCAAGAAATCAAGGGAGATGGAACGCAAGTGGTGTGAACAAGATGTTTTGCAATGTTTGTGAAAGAAGAAGGTTAATACACACAACATGGACTGATGCAAATCCTGGGTGGAGATTTCTAAGTTGCCCTAATAATGGTTACAATCACTTTACTTGGGTAGACCTACGCATGTATGATCGGGCAATGCAGATCATTCCTGGTCTGTTGAAGAAGTTGAATAAGATTGAATCACAACTGAAGAAAAGGACTGAAGAGAGACGAAATTATGGATTTGCTTGGTTCTGTCATGGTTGGTTGTAGAAATATGATTTGTAATGTAAAGTTACAAGTTATATGGCAGTGTATAAATGAATGGAGTTTGTATCCTGTTTATGAATCGTATGTAATGGGTGAACTATTGTGAATGGAAAAAAAATGATTTTGAGATAAAAATTGTGTATTTTTGTGTCTATTATTTTATTTTTGGTGACCTGTTATTTTTGTGTCTTTTATTGTGTTTGGTGACTCACACATAGACAGAGGTAACACATAGAAGTTAGGAAAGGATTGTGACTCACACACACAATTCGTCGCCACATTTGTCACTCCAAATTCAATTTGGGCAAAACAATATAGTGAAGGCACGAAAGTTGACATTCTTGCTTTCACTGTGTGTCTATCCCTGAACTGAAAACTAAAAAAAAAATAATAATAATAAAAAAATAAGCAGTAACACATACACATAGCAATCCATCACCAATCAAGACACAAAAGTTAGGAAAGGATTCTAAGTCACCCACAGAATTTGTGACCACAATTGTGACTCCAAATTCAAATTGGTGAAAACAATCTAGTAAAGGCACCAAAATTGACATTCTTGCTTGAACATCATGTCCATCCCTGAACTGAAAACTGGAAAAAAAATGGCACCAACACACATAGACATAGCAGTCCATCACTAATGAAGACATAAATTGTCACAATAGCATAAAAGGCAGTAAATTATCATCCATATAGATCAATTCACACACTTGTCATTCATTTGGCATCACCAATGATACAATTGTCATTCATTCATGATGTGCAAAACATATACTAACAAAGGGGCAACTGTAAACACCCCATTTTTGACCGACCTTAAGACTCAGATGTCACCGATTGAGCGCTTGGTGATGTTGCATATCGTGCTCGTTCAGAGGTTTCAGAGTCTCGGCTGCGAGCCTTGCCTCCGGACTTCCGGACGCTTTCATGCTTTGCCTCGGTTTGCGAACCAGGCTCTGTTTTCTCTATTTTCTCTTCCCGACCAACTTCGTGGTCGAACACCACTTCCGGTGCCTAACAGTCAGTTTTCGGGGCCTCGGGCTGCGCGTTTCGGCCCCCGAACCTCCATTTTGCATCGGTTTGAGTTCATTTTTGGCAGGGACCTCTGTTTCATTGTTAGGAAAGTCGTAGAAGGGTGGGAGGCCAGCAATTGTTCTGACAACCAGTTTTATTCCTCCATCGCCCTTCGTCGCCTGTTTTTCTCACTTGAAAGCCAATGTTGACCACCCTAAGGCCACTTTTTCTTGCCCCAAACCACATATTTGTATTTTACACACCTGGGAGGCCACCAATATCACATGGCCGGCCAGTAATTCTGTGTGACCCTTTTGAACCCCTCCTAAAAGTGACCTTTTCTCTCCCCTGGTTCACTTTCTCCAGTTTTTGACCACATGGTTGTGTTGTGCACACATGGGAGGCCACCAATCTGGGATGCCCGGCCACTAATCATGATTGATCCTTTTGACCCTTGGCCGGCCGGCAATGGGGAGAGCCGGCCGGCTACCTAAACCCTAGAAAACTGGCCGGCCATGATCCTCTCTCCAGGTACTTTACAGAAATGTATTTTGTTTCCCCCCATAATTTGTATCCGGGGGGCTGCACTTTTGGGGGGAAACTTGAATTCTTTTCCCCCCCATTTTTCCCCCATTTTCTCCACTCCTTTGCCTATATATCCAGGCCCCCCAGTTGTGTTTTAGAGGTTACAAAAAATTGCTTTGAGGCTCTTGCATTGATCCTCCCCCTCCTTCTCTTCCAAGCACCAAAACCTTCCAAACCCTACACCATTTCTACACCACCA